GAGTAGTAGATGTTGTCCTTTTTATTTCTTTTTTCTTTTGTCAAAAAATGTTATCCTTGACACTAAAATCATGAAAGCCCCAAAAGCTAGAGCCAAGGCTTCAAAAGAAGCAATAGAAATGTGGAAACAACATGGATTCTCTAGCTAACTAATAGATTTTTCTGCTTCTCTCTATGAATGGACATGGTTCAGGACTTCAGGTTGATTAACAAACACGGTGTCGTATGATTTTGCAGTCTAATTGATGCAGCGCAAGCCCAAGACCCATGGACCTTATCTAAAGATGTGTTGCCACTGCTCTCCTATTTGCTCCCTTTACAATATGCCATCAATATTTACAAGTATGTGCCACACGACGAAAGTGTTTCAATGTGTTTGGTCTACATGTCGTTGAGAATGTTTTTGTTTTTAATGGTTTTCTGTTTTAGACTTTCCCAACAAATGTTTTTGGTTTTAAACATTTTTGTCAACATGTCGTTTAAAATGTTATTTAAACAAATGTTACATTCTCAAGTAAATTAATATTCCTCACATACACCTGTTATCCTAATACACAACGCATCGATGCTTTATCAAGTTATGGGTAAAGCTACACTATAACAGCTAACATGTTTCGTATAAAAAAAGTCATACCAAAGCGTAATGCACAAGTAGCTTCCAACCTAATGAACATACCAAATTCTTCATCCACTAACTCTACCACAAATCACAACACAAACATTCACTCATCAATCCCAACAACCAACTAATAAAAAATAAAATAATCTACACTTGGCACTTCATCAAGTTACACAAGATAACAACATCTAAAAATAACAATCCGCGCGTAGCCCGGACACGCCCCAATATACTATAAAACATCATTTGTTTTTACATAATATATACTAATTATCATTTAGGACATTACTGAATCAATTTATATATTACTTTAAAAATAGCTTTTATAATATTATCACATTACATTTGATTTTTTGTTGATTTAACTTGGAGGTGGGTGTATTAGTTTATTATTGTGAGAAATTAGTTATTGTAATAATATTAAAAATGATACTCTTAGAAAAAAATATTAATTATTTTTACTTTCGATTTTCTTCAACTTTATCAAATTAAAATAGAAAAATACAAATCATTACATTTTCTTTAAATGTTTTAATTTAACAATTGTGTGTTCTCTAACAAAATAAATGTTAGTGATTTTTTCAACTCAAACCAACAAAATTTAATCAAATTTACTATATGATCTTAGAATAAAAATATATTATATTTATTATTTTCAACATAAAGTAAGTTTTCAAATATTTTGTAAAACTAAAATATTTATTAATATAAAATAGTTTTAGTGTAGAATAACCTGCCAGTAGAGCTGATACCCCCTAGTTATCAATAAAACACAAATTTTCCGTACAAAATCATTAGTAGACATTCAATTCATCAGTAACTTATTTGGCATGTTTACATAAACCCTAACCTTAATTTCTGAGTTAGAGTTTAAGATCCATCATTTGGTGCTACAAGGAAAGGGAGGGGGGTCAACATATAAGACCCTCTAAAGAATCTGATGTGAAACATGCATGCAATGGCCGAATATAAGCATATCCACTCCAAGAAGAAGTGATCTTAATTCTCTACAGCAGTTCCCGCACCAACGATCACTGATCTGAATACTACACTACCTCATGTACCAATTTAATCACAATTTGTTTTCTGTGCTCTATTTTGTCATACAGGTCGGCAGAACGCCAACAGAACAAATAATCACTAGGACTACTCCCAGACGGCTTACCGTGAATGATATCCTACAACACACCCTATCTCCGGCTCAAGCCGATCAGGGCGACATAAGCTAATGTGATTTTGGATGCTCTTGTGGATGATGTACCAAAAGAAGGAATAATTGTTGGATTCTTTTATTAACAGATTTAAGTCCACGATCTTTGATACCAACATAAGAGACGAAGTAGAAATATCAGCTTTAAGGATCAACTTATAAACATATAACTATGATATAGTTTCTGAAAAATACTTCAAAAATTATTTTTTTATCAAAATCGCAAAAACATAATTTTCACCAAAACCACGAAAATGTATTTTTCGCCGAAACCGTAAAACACACTTTCTCGCCAAAATCGTAAAAGCACATTTTTCCATCAAACCACAAAAACGCATTTCGGAAAATGCATTTTCTTACTAAAATCACAAACAGCATTTTCTTGCTAAACCGCAAAATTCATTTCCGCCACCACAAAATTAGTTTTTTTTTTCATTAAAAGGAAAAATTATAATTACCACGAAAACCATATTAATAAAAATAAGAGTACATAAGTCATTTGATTACTAAACTCATATAGATGAAAATAAAGATGAACAAACGAACATAAGTTCATTTAGATGATCTATCTGGATGAATCATCTAGATGGAGAAACGAACACTCCCAAATAACATTCAGATGGATCATCCATATGGAAATATAGACGAACAAATGAATATATATTCATTTAGATGATCTATCTAAATGAACAATCTGGATGGAGAAACGAACATTCCCAAATAACATTCAGATGGATCATCTAAATGGAAATGACAAATGGTCAAACAAACAACATCTAATTTAGATTGTACAACAATGTTGAGTTATAGAAACCCATGGAATGCATCAGGTGCTGTGGTGTAGTGGTTATCATGTTTTCCTTACACACAAAAGGTCTCCAGTTCGATCCTGGGCAGCACCATTTTTACTGTCTCTTTCAATTTTTTCTCATTAAACATGTATAATCCAAGCGACACCGTAATGAGCAGCTACATAGTGGCCATGGCTCAGATGGCTGCTGACTTGATTCGAAAATGATGCTTCATTAATAGGTAACACAGGCTGCTGCTAATGTTATAATCAAAGCTAGAGCTACTCTCCTACCACAGATTAGAGCCACTATCAATAGTTATCTATATATAAAGGAGAATTCTCTTCTTCCTCTGTGAGCTACGTCATCTATCTTCTCTAGGAGCGAGCCATGTCAGCAGTGAGAAAACCAATTTGATTTCTCGGTTTGTGAAAGTAAGACATCTACTAATGGGCTTCCTGAAAACTTATAAAATGAATACGATTTAGAAGTTACAAAAGCATTTAGGTATGGGCCATTAAGTCCACACGTATGAAATGTGGTCGTATGCGACGTTTCCCGTCAACCTTTACACTCAAAGCCGAGTCACATCTCCTCCTCATTTCTTCAACTAAGAAACGTATAGAGTTAGGCATGGGCATAAAATCCATAACCCGAAATCCGAACCGAACGGGAACCAAAAAATCCGATCCGAACCCGGTCCGAAATATAAAAAAATATCTAAATGGATCTTGTAAGGTGGTATAAAACATATCCGAACCCGAAGTGTTCTTAACCTAACCTGAATAGGTAACCCGAAAAAACCGAAAAAACAAAAAACCGAAAAATATATCCAAAGAAACCAATCCGAATATCTAAACTAATATACAATATAATTATATGAAACATAAATATCTACTTGAAATATTAAATTTCATATTTATTTTGATATGGTATCGAATAATAAGTATTTAAAATTTAAATAAGTATCTTAAATACTTAATTATATAGAAATAAGTTTATATTTCTTATGTTTTCCTTTTAAATTTTAGATTTTACTTCGGGTATATCCGAACTGATCCGATATGACCCGAACCCGAATAATATATAGTTACTTTATGGGTTCTATGATGTGATACAAAACCGACCCGAATCCGATGTGTTATATCCGAACCCGACCCGTAATTACAAATTTACTAGAATGGGACCTATGAGGTGGTATAAAAAGAACCAAAATCCGATAACCCGATCCGAACGCCAACGGGTACCCGAACGCCCAGGCCTATATAGAGTTATGGCACTCAATTAACGACGCCTACTGCATGAACTTCAACACTTCATTACTTCCTAGAACTCAATCCGATTAATAATATATAAAAATGTCATCAAAACGCTAACTGAGATCTATTTGTTAAATTTCTTTCTCCGTCAGAATCGATTATTTCTAAGAGACATCTTAATTGAGAATCTCCTCATTGATTAGACTAAGAAACTGTGGGAACCAAAATTCATACCATCGAGATTTGTTAATCGGAGAAAAGCTAAGCTAACCTATCCTTCCCTGAAGGTCCCGATTATCTGTGGGGCCACACACGACACAATCAATATGAAGGAGTTAAAAGCAAGAAAAACATAAAAGAGCGGAAAAAGAGAATAAGAGGATTCGTTTTTGAGCGCGGACAACAGGTAAGGACCTCGGCTATAAGATCTGTCGGTACATTCGCTAGTCTAGCAACCTAAATCTAACCTATTTGAGTCACAGCTCGATAGTGAAAACAGAAAAAAATGCCTAAATTGCTTTAAGTGCTAAGTTGCTCTGAAGACGCTCTCCTTTGCTCCTCGCCCCCAAGCTCCCCTTATATACTGACCCTAGGGTGGTTTAGTCCTCCTCTTGGGCCTAATCGGGCTTTTCCATTTTCGTCATCCTTCATGATTATCCTCGGAAACTTTACATTTATCTTCGGAAACTTCATGTTTATCTTTTGGAAACTTGACATTTATCTTTTCCTGCAAATAAAATAGGCTGTCATACCAGCCTTGGGTTCAATCCTTTTAAAATCGTAAGTGGGCCGTTGGCCCGTGATCCAGGCCTCCTTGAGCCGTTCTGGGACTCTAGACGTTTTTATGATTTTTCCGGGAAGTAACCTTAGACGTGGCATTGATATTTCTGAGAGGATCCCAATTCCTCGTATAGTTAAGGCAGTTGGTGTTTAAGTTAATCGTAGCCGTATTATACGATTTCGAAGGGATAATATCTAGAACCAAGTCTTTATGATCTTTCCGAAGTCTTTCTTCGATAATCCGGGACGGAGGTGTCGTGTCCAAGGATCCTAGGATCGTGTTACGGGAACTTAAGACGATGGAACATGGTTAATAGGATCAGGATCAGGCTATCCTCATCCATGGGCGAGATTAATTTACCTCGGTTCACCTCGCCCATGGGCGAGGTGACATTGGTACTGATTCACCTTGCCCATGGGCGAGGTGACATCAATGCCGGTTCACCTCGCCCACAGAAGAGGTGACCTTGATGCCGTTTCACCTCGCCCATGGGTGAGGTGACATTGGGTATGGTTCACCTAGCCCATAGGCGATGTGACATCAGCCTCGGTCCATCTCGCCTATGTGCGGGGTGATCTTGGCCGGGACGGTTCCGTTCTCGAGTTTTGACCCATCTCTTTTCGTATTGATCCTTT